CTCTCTGCGATTCTACTGCACGAGTCCAATCAATGAATGGATTATGTAGATCAACTACTGAATATGTCGAACATGTTAATAGAGGTATTTTATTAGGTATGGGATCAACTGATTCTGCATTCCTTTTGAAAGTTCATAAGGGTATTACTGATTATTTGAATTATCATGACAGACATTCTCTAAGTGTTGCCATTAACTTTTTGACTGGCGAAGAAGGACCATTCTGGGTCAAACTCAGAGGTAAAGGATTGTGTTATGGTTACTCCATCATTAGTAATGTAGATAAGGGATCAGTAGGCCTGTATTTGTCTCGTGTTGGAAATGTTTCCAAGGCCTATGCTGAATCAAAGGCAATTATTGAAGCTGTTTGCTCTGATGAAGAACCAAGTGAAAATGTCTTGAAGCTTAATGAATCTGCACTCGAACCTGCCAAGGCAACCACAGTTGTTGAAAAATTGAATAATGCAGAGACTATTATTTCAGCTGCCTACTCTCGATTCTTAACCAACACCTTGTTTAATGGACCAAGAAACTTTTACGAAAATCTCCAAGATATCGGAAAGGTAACAGTGAGCGATGTGAAGAGAGTTATCAAGCAATACTTGTTGCCACTCTTCCTTGAAAATGAAGGTGCCTTGTTCATTTGTGATAATGCAGGAAAGATTTCAAATGAATATCCAATTAAAGATGATTTGGAAAAGATTGGATATCTAAAGACCTACTCCTCACTCAAGGAATATCTTGCCACAGAATTGGGTGTAACAGTATCAGCTCCAAAGAGCGACATGTCTTGTGATGAAATTACAGAAGGAGCAGAAGATGATGAAGGCGAAGATGAAGAGGAAGAAGGTGAAGACTCTGATTCAATGGAAGATGATGAATAAATTTTTTGAATTTCTACAACAATTGTTGGATTTTGATTACAATACTGTCAATGTTCGGTCTGCTCCAAAATAAGGAAACAACAAAAGAATTTAAAGAAAATTTTTTTATATTTTTTATTTTAAGGATTAATAGATACAAAATAGGTAATTAATTTACTCTTCATCAGCTTGTTCGTCGGCTTGTTCATCTTCTGCTTGCTCTTCTTCGACGACTTCAGTGTTAATATCTTCAGTATTCAAGCCACTTTCTCTGAGACCAGATCCACTGATATCCAAACCTAAACCGTGCTTTGTTTGTTCAGAGCTCAATCTGACAATACTACCCCAACCAATCAATCTCCAGTGGTTATCAACTCTTCTGGAAAGAGCCAACTTTTCACCGACTTCTGTACAAACTGGTTGAGTAAGGACAATCTTTGTCAAGTCAGCCTTAACAGCAACGATTTTACCACCTGATGATGTTGAACCTATGTTGATCATGAGGACTTCACCCTTTTGCAATTTTTGAATCTTTCCTTTCTTTTCATTGTCAGTCTTGACACCCAAAAGTCTTCTAAGTAAAAAGTATGAAATTTCCAATTCAGTGTAAACTTCTGGTAATTTACCAACTTCACCAAGAACTTGACCTACCAAACGATCGGCACGAGTAAGAGTTGGATCAATCTTTGTACCAACACCAATCAAACCACCTGGTACAGCATATTGCAAAGCATTTTCTTCAGCGAACAAACTGACAATTTTGCTTGTAATTGGTTTACATTTGATAGTACCGTCCTTTTCCTTAGTCACAATACCTGGACGAACTTCAATTTCATCTCCAATCCTCAAAACACCTCTGAGAATAGAACCACCAGCAACACCACCCTTAAGATTTTCAACAGCTTCACCTGGCTTGTTAACGTCAAAACTACGAATGACAATCAATCTTGGTGAGCTTGTAAAATCACGGATTGGAATTGGGATACGTTTCACAATGTGTTCACAAACGACGTCAATATTGTATTTCAATTGGGCAGAAATTGGAATAATTGGTGAATTATCAGCAACAGTTCCCTTAACGAAACGTTTGATTTCATCAAATTGATTCAAAGCATCAGATTCCTTTACCAAGTCAATCTTATTTTGTAAAATAATAATATGTTTCAATTTCATAATTTCTACAGCAGCTAAATGTTCTGATGTTTGTGGTTGAGGACATGGTTCATTACCAGCAATTAATAAAAGAGCGGCATCCATGACAGCGGCACCGTTCAACATGGTAGCCATGAGAATATCGTGACCTGGACAATCGACAAAAGAAACGTGTCTAACCAATTCATATTCACCCTTGAAATCATCAACTTCACATGGGAAATGATCGCAATGGTTAGAACCTTGTGATGTATAACATTCTGGTCTTGGACATTTAGGATCTCTACACAAGAAAATCTTGGCATTGGCATAACCAAGCTTGATGGTAATGTTACGAACCATTTCATTCTTGAAACGAATAGTCTTAACACCAGAAATAGCTCTGACGACTGTGGATTTACCGTGGGCGACGTGTCCAATAGTACCAATGTTAATAGTAGCTTGACGAGAAATAACTTCTGGAGTCAATGGATGAAGTTTCTTTGGGTCGATTTGTGGATTTTGTTCCAACAAGCCATCCTCTGAATTTACTTTAGCTTCGCTGAATGGTGGTGGAAGCATCACACCTTTATAATTTAATTCGTCTCCTATTACAGGATCGTAAAGATTAGTAGCCATCTTGTTGTTGTTGTTGTATATTGTTATATATTCCTTCGTTTTTTAAAAAAATTGTTCTTCGTTTGATGATGTTATTGTTGTTCTGCTGCTTTAAATAATTACTAGTAGAAGAAAAACACAAATTCAATAGAAGACGACGTGAGTTGTTGTTGCGCGACGAGAGAATATTTTTTTCAAGGCACAAAATAAAATGAAGAATAAATTTACAATGTTGTGACCCTCAGTATTAAAAGGCTTTAAAAAATTATTAATAAATTGAACAAGCTTGTTATTTGCAACCTTGGCAATTATTACTTCTCTGATTTTTTCAATTACCAGTTGCGCTTGGAATGTGGAGGAAAATGATGAAAATAACACAATTTGGAGGTTGAATTTATTAATAATTTTTAATATTACCGAACAGTGTTATCATGGTAAATTTCCAAATGCTTTCTTTTACTTCATTTTGTACTCTCAAACAAGATACATAACTTGTTCAATTCATCACCGTACTATGGAAAATATTATTATTAACCAGCAACTTTTTTGCTTGTCGATAGTGAATTAATTTAGTATTATTTAATAATTAAATTGCAAATAATTATTAAATAATACTAAATGTTCATTCCTCTTATTATAATCATGGTGGGAGGTTTCTGTTAAGTTATTGCCAAAGTTTGCACTGCACCATTCTGAAACAAAGTTGTAAGCCTTAGAATAATAAGATGTTCTGGGTTCAGTGATTCAAATTGCAATACAATTTAAAAAACTATTCCTCATTACCTTAATTATTAGACAGTTTTACAGAACTGTACAGATTTCAATCTTAATTGTAAATGATGAACTGTAGATTAGCATTCAAGTGTTTATTCAATGAATGGAATGGAAGAGGAATAAGCTATTTTGCTGATTGGAATGGAATATTGGAATCCGGTTAAAGGAATCATCATGTGAAAAAGACTCATCTCAACTTGGGCGGTTTACAATTATATATTTTTACATTTATGAAACGGTATTGTTGGGTATTGACATGATATTGTCATCCTTTTACAATAGAAGATTTCACATTTAATATCTGAGAAAAGAATGCATGACCAATTGCAAAATTGTCCTTATTACAATTCTACTTATCAAATATCAACACATTGACAACTTGTGAAAGATTCGAATACAATAATTTAAAATGTGCACCAATTAATCCAAATTTGAGGATTGGGATCAAGAACTAAAATTGATGAGGACAAACTCGTACAATTAGGATTCATTGTGAGGAGGGAGATTAATCCCACATGTTCAGACTCTTTATTGGAAATTCGCTTTGTTTAACTGTTGTTGATTGGCTCAGAAAATATTAATTAGGCTTCTCCTAAGAGATTTCATTAACAATTAGATTAGCATTCATATTATTGAAACCCTTAAAAGAGTTTGTCTCTCGGTCAATACGATGTTTAGTTGTATGGATTAGTATTTTTTTATTTCCATTCACAACAAGAGATCCGATCATTAATTCCTCCTCATCAACACTGCAACCAATTTACTGCCAATCCAAACATTCTACTGTTTTCAATACACAACAGCATTGAAGAATACCTCAAGTTATTTTAATGATAGTTCCAATAGATCTTGTTAGAAATTACAAAGCACATTCTCAATTGAGCAAAGCATCACATCTCAAATACCAGAAAACCACCTCTAACCTTTTTTCCATCTTAAATTGTAACCCAAGTGTTCCCCCAACAAAACAAACATGACATTCATACTTTCCTTTTTTGTGTTACATGACCAAACAGTTAATTGAGGCGTATTGAGGATGCTTGATACCCAAAGAAGTTTTAGTATCCGTAGCATCAGCCAACACAAACCATTTGAAAATATGTTGAAACGACAACTGGCGTTGACACCTGGCGGATTTTTCTGTGTGTTTGTGCGTCAATATCTTGGCATTTAAACGAGATGCTGTTTATTTACTTTCCAAAAATCAAAAAAACAACAAACAATTAATACGAGAAAATGTCAAATGTTGTTAGAAATGAAAAGACATCAACCAGTGCTCTCAAGAAGGTTAGAATCAGAAGACAGCTAGTTATTCCAAACCTGTTGAAGAATTATTTTGTGCTAAGTGTTAATTCATCATCTGCACAACCTGCCACACATCAACATGATGACACATGTAAGCCAAGTTTAAATGATGGCCAATTTTCAGTGTACAGAGTTTGTGGAGATGAAAATATAGAGAGTGGTGCTTTTGTTGGATCAGATCCGTCAAAGAGAGCATCTGTTCTTGCAAAGAGAGCTGATGTGAAGGAAAATGTCAAACGTAAAGCAGCTGTCAAGAAACATTCTGCTTGTTCTTCATCATTGGAATTTATTAATACAGCATGCTCACCTGATTGCTTGTCTTTCAATAATTCAAAGATTGGTAAATCTAAAAAGATGAGAATACATTCACCTGATTTTTCTAATAGCTATTCGAATCATGATGATTCTATTGTTGGAGCATGTAATACTTCCTCTGAATGTGGACTTTCCAACAATACACCCACCAATTTCTCAAATTCTATTCAACAAGATGAGGCTAATCTATTAGAAACTTTCCAAACTAACTCTTTCACCTCTTTCCATAACGTTTCTTCAACAACAAAACTAAACCTAACGAAACAACATGCCCCAATACCTCCAATTCACCCACAAGAACAACATTTCCACACAAAGCACCATCTTCAATAACGATGCATTCTCCTCCCTCATTGCATCCTCTATTTTCAGTTTCGAATCATCATACTCTCTGTCTCCAGCTCGATGTTGTTGAATTTAAGGAAGAATGGGATAAATGGGTTGATACAAGCAATGGGTGTATGTTATTACTTGATTCGTATTCTTGTCAATAGTTAAAATGGTTCGAATCAGGTACAAATCTAGACAGTAAAAATATAAATGCTTGCAAAATTTTGCCTATTTTATAAATGAAGCGAAAATTTAGTATGGAAATTGAATCACCTTTTATTGAATATGATGTCTCGGTCAATTCATACTTTATTGGAATTTTGAGGTTATTAATTCGAAGAGGAGATTGAAGGAGAAGATATGAGTTCAGCCAATTAATAATTGATAGGGAATCAAATCATTCACTTTGTATAATGCAAAAAATGTAATAAGCAAATCAGATATTTGTTATGAATTTTCCATTTCCTCAATTTCACTCACAACGAATCAAATTCAAGTTTGATCAAACGTTTACAACCTTGAAAGATCTTCATTGATTTACATCATCCATAAAAACAAAAGTTATTTTTAATTTTAAATAAAAAATTCAAAAAAAAAGCATAGACTTGATTTTTTCATCATTCTAGTTTTGCTTTAAATTCCTACTTATCTCTTGTACAATATTCAAAGAAGAACTTTTTTTGTTTTTTAGTTATCAATATATTTTGTAACATTAGAGTGTATTATATTTTGTAATTTATAGTATTATTATTAGTATTAGTATTTTGTATAGAAAATTCTCATCCTTCCGATATCAACAAGTTAATAGTAGAAAATGTCCCAAAGTATTCCTCGTTTTATTCAACCTTCTTCTTCATCGTCAAGATCTAGATCATCTTCCAATGCAAATTCTGATGTAATTTCTTCCTCTCCGAGTCATCTCTCCTCCTCTCCTTCCATGATGGAATATTACAAGAAAAGTAGTGGCTCTTCTCCACTTTCAAAGGAGGAAGAAGAATTGATGAATCAGAAAAAGGAACGTTTTCAAACATGCAAAGAGGTGATTGATCGTTTGAATTGGGATGAATCATTGGCAGATGTCATGCAAAATTTAGCCATGATCTATAAGGATCGTTTTGAAGGAGATGTGTTCATCTCTTACAGTGAATATGAGAATAGTGAATTGAAGGAAGATTTGCCTCAACATCGTATTCAGAGTTTGATCTATAGAGATGAACATGTATTTTGGGATAAGAATAAGAGAATTGATCTGATCACCTCTAAGGAAATTTTCCCAATTATCGATTCTTACTTAAATCCTACAGAACCTATTGATGAAACATCCCAAGGTGCGGAAATTAAAAAGAAAAAGAAGAAGAATTCAAAACCATCCATCAGTTTGGAAAAATCCAAAGCAAGTACCTTACTAAAGACAACTAGTGGTGAAAATTTGGAAGATGAGGAAGAAGATGAAATAGATCAGTACATTGCAGAATATGATGAAGAATATGGCATGTATTTGAAATAAATTAACTGTTCATAGGAGAGAGTCTCTTTCTCTTTCTGTAGCAACACAAAGCACCAATCAAGCTGACCAAGACAATCAAAAAAGTTCCCACCAAAGTTGAAGTTAACCAGACTGCAAGAATGCCTGCTGCAACCATATAGACCACATTATCATAGTCAATTACAGCTTTTCCTTCAGCTTTGACAGTGGTTGGAATTGGCAAGGAGAGGGTTCCTTCCACCTTACTGAAAGTGAGATCGGCAACTAAGGCAGATATCATTACTCTTTCTGATAGGTCAGTACTAATTGATACTATTACGGCTGGAAAGGTTAATCTTGAACAGTTGAGAGAGGCCTTACAATGAGAGAGGGATGTTAACTTATGATTTGATATAGAAATTCGTGATATCATATTTTTTAATTAAGATCTTTACTAAAACAGTTTATTTTTATTAAGGATTTGTTAATTACATGATTTTGATTTATATTTTTAAAAGTGTTGATTACTGATAAGTGTTTGTTTAGGTTCACGCACATTCACAATATCAACATCATTATTTTCCAAGTTGGTTTTGATCTTTCTCTTTCTCAACAAGTAAATGGCCACCAATAATACAATAATTATGCACACAATTGGAATAATCAACAATGCAAATAGGGCAAACAAATCATAATTATTCCTGATAAAGCTCTCTCCTCCCTCTCCTGGATCACGGATAATGGAAAATCGACCAGTCTTTTCAATTGATGCAGAGATGGTGCCAATTGAACTTTTTCCTGAGTAATTAATATTACAAGCACCTCCAGCCACTGTCTGATTCCATGCATTATCCCAATAGGAACAATAGTAGAAAGGAAAAGTGGTATCAAAGAATACTGATATGAGGCTCTTATCTGATGAGACATTATCAAATTCAAGTATTGAAAAGTCAAAGATTAACCTGTCGGTAGGGGATTCAGTTTTCAAAGCTAATGTAATGTAGTTCAATTGTGAAACTGACGGGTGTGTTGCTAATCCAGATTGTATTGAAATCTTATTTCCGTTATTATCAATGGATTCTCCAACAATGCTTGTCAAGGATGAAACCAATACCTTTCTCCAATAACATATTTGAATGGTATTAGAAAAGGTAATTGCTGGCATATCTGGAACAGACTTTTTCATGAAAGATTTACCAACTAATGGGTAAATATTTTCAATTTCTTTTAAATCATTGGATGATTTTACATGGAGAAGGAATTTGTTTGCTGTCTTTTGTATGAGATACAAATAATCATCATCCAAGGTGAAAGAACTGCTAGTTGCTGCTTCCTCTGTCAAATTTCTCAATTTCTTAATGATAGAAGATGTACTTTCTGCATCTTGAACATATTCCACACATGAGCTGATTGAAGAGATGGCAGAAACAGTGGAAATACCATTATCAGATGTGAATTGACCAATATTTTGAAGAGTATCAACATAGGAAACGACAACTGCATTGATTGCACTCATAATTTGTTTCATATTGCTAGGGACATTGGTGGATGATGCAATAAAAAATGTAATTGCATCCAAAGTGGATGAAATATAGGAGGACGAAACTGATTTGGAGCTGGCCTTTTGTAACATGTCAGACAGTGTAGTATTGCTGATTGAGGAAGGTTTGTAGACAATGACAGTCATTTGCTTTTCAGAGGAAACAAGTACAGAATCATAAACAATAACCTTGATATTCAAAACTTGTGTGCTGCTTGAATTGGATCCAAGAGGGAGAGTGGAACTGAGAGTTGAATCTTGATTTCTTTCGTTTAGTGGCTTCCATACTGAATTGGATTCGTCCAAGTAAAAGAATCTGTAGGTAAGAGGATTATTAGAAACTGAAGAACCGTTACATGTCAAGGTGAAAACAGTTTCCAAAGCAACACCACTGCTTGGAGTAATTGACAAGGTTCCAACACTTGGAGGTGTATTCAAAGTGAAGGAAATTGAAGGATTAGAGATCTTTGAGCAACCTTCTCTAATGATCAATTGAACAGTTAATTGTTTTTCAAATAGCATAAGTTTAGTCTTGGGAATTATAAGGAAACTTCTATTACAAGCCAAACCACTCAAATCAATATCAGTGGATTTCCATTCATAAGTTGGCAATGAAAGAGCTTCATAAGTAGAATAGCTAAATATCAAATCGTGTGATGGATTTACAACATGCACATCTTTTTCACCACCACCACTCAATACAATGGTAGAATTAAATTGTGCAGGACAACAACAGGTTGTTTGAAGTTGTATTTTTGCCTCGACCTGATTCATGTCTTGGCCACTCATCATCAAGACAACGACAATAAATAAAATCGCGACCATCAGCACGTATGAGCTAATGAAATGATTGTGCTGTTGCAACAGTTTCGCCATCTTGATGGTTATGTTGTTTTTTATTTTTTTTAGCAATTTGAATAGTAGATCACTGCCTAATTTACATGAAAGGACGATGACTATTCAATGAGATGGAAGTTCCTTTTACGCAAAAGAATACAGTTCGTGTGTCAAGTTTACAATTTGTGATTAAATTTGTATTGTTGTGTCCAAGCAACAATTGGAAATTGAAACAGAAGAGATTTGTAAAATAGGGAATTATTTGATTGGGTGAATATTTAATTACTTTTGGTTGTGTAACTGTTGTAGTGGAACATGTTATCAACATCAATTGCCCAAACAAAAATGTCTCAACAATCACAACAAAATCAAACTCACAATCCAATCAACCAACTAACAGCCCACCTTAATTAGATTCCTACAAGTCTGAGCAAGAAGGGACAAGGGAAAGATCTTTAGCGCTAAAGATACAGACCTTTGAAATGTATTTTCAAAGCTATAGCTTGTACTTAAGTTTTACTAAATCTTAAAATCTATTTTACTTGTGTGAGCTGTCAAAATTGTGGTATTTAAGCCGGAGCATTTAAGCATAATATTCAATGTGAAGCTGGCGTAGCTCAGTCGGTAGAGCGTTGGTCTAATAAGCCATTGGTCGCCGGTTCGATCCCGTCCGTCAGCAACAGTTTTAAAAAAGCTAAAATTTAATTTAATTTTATTTTGTAAATAAGGTGCCTTTAAAATTTATGGTAATTGTATGTCATGGTGTAAATCTTGTCACGGAACTTTCAACTCTTTTTTGAGAATCTCTGTATTAGTGTTTGGGCAATTTTTAGTGTTGACCTCCTTCAGTTCTTGACAGCTTGGAGACTTGATGAGCTGAATAACCTGTTCTGTGCTAATTCCTTTCACTCCATTCAAAGAAAGAACATGCAGTCTCAAATACGCAGAATTTTGAAGAAATTTCAAATCCTGTAATGCAACATAATCCAACAAGAGCGTTTTTAGATGTTTAAAATCAGTTTTTCCAAATAACTTATCAAAATCTTCTTGTCTCAATAGATAATTATTTCGCAAATCTAAATATTCCAATTGTGCAAATTTTGGTTGAGTAAGAGCCTCAATGTGTCTTTTCTGTACAAATCTCGATTGAAGAGTCAAGCTCTTAACAAATTCATAACCTGAATTGATAAACAAATCGAGATTTGGTCTTCTCAATATCAGAGATGCTCTATAAGTCACATGATTCCACATTTTACAAACTTGGTTCATATTAAGCAAGTCATCAAGTTCCAAAAAGTTGGAAATTTGTAGAATTTCATCTTCCAATAATGGTCTGGCTGTCCACTTCTCAATATTTTCATGTATTCCTTCTCCAACATCACCACCAGTTTGCTTTTCCAAATCAAGTTTCTTCAAATATTCATCAAAATATGAATCGAATGAATTAGTTTCGGTAATTTCATTAAAAACCTGTTGCAATTCCAAATGATCAAATGCAGAATTAACCACAATAAACTTTCTAATCTTCTTCTCCGTATCCAATTCCACATACTTTCCAATAATAAAATCTCTAACTTCCTCTACATTCGAATCATTTCCACTAAACTCTGAAACATAATCCGAAAATCGAACACCATCAGAAACCTTCCTTTTCAACACTTCATATTTTGTAAAGAGAATGGTCAAGTCTTTTGTATTCACAAATTCCTCCCTAAAACAAGTCAAGCTTTCCTCATACCTGTTAGTGACATCGTCCTCATAGCAAACCTCATCAAACTCTGCCAATGAAACAACCAGACATTCTACAATATTGCTGCCATGATTACTTATAATCTTATTCCATTTTTTTCTTTCAGTTCTTTGTCCACCAGTATCACACAGGGTTATTCCTTTAATTGGAGAAAATGATGAGATGCCAGAGGTTTTAATCATTATTCGCAATAAATCTTCAATGTTGAGTTTGGACAAGTGTTTAATCCTCTCAAAATTCTTCTTCCTCATGAAATAGGCAATATTCTCGTGTAAATAGAGTTTCGAACGGTTTTGGTGAATCAAATCTTGAAATCCAGAATCGTAAAACAACTCGAACAAATTATCTGCAAAATCCTGAGTCCAAAACTTGCTTGCCGATAGCGTCTTTGGTCCCGATCTAGAATATTCCTCGAAAAATTCATCCATTTTCGTGCAAGCTTGAGCATTCCCAAAAGAAGTATTAATTGAAACCATGTCAAAATATTCCAAAATTGTTTCATGTAGAATGGTTCTTCTCTTTTCCAAATCATCCTTCTCTATAAACATTTGTACAAAAATTGCAGCTATTTAACATTTACAAAACAAATTAAAAATTGTTGAATAAATAATTGTTGTAAACTTTTTACGTACACTTTCCTGAACCACCTGTTCCTAGGAATACAATCGCCTTGGAATCACCTTGGTTATGAAGTCTTGGTTTTGGTTTTTCTGAAGTGTCAAAGCTGGCACTTGATTCGGGAGATGATCGAAAAAAAGTCGAAATGAGCTTTTGCATTTTTTTTTATGAGAATCTTTAGTGCACCACAGCAACTTTTTCAACTTTACAATAAGATTTCAATACACAACATATTTACAAATGTTCAGTTCAAGGTTGTCTCAATACTTTACAATTACTGATAGAAATCCACTTTTTTGATTTCCACTAAATAGCAGAAATTGAGATTTTTAAACAGAAAAAAATGGCGGCATCACATGAAGGGGAAAATTCATCATCAGAAAGATCATCTCATGATGTACATTTGTTGAATCTCCCGATCGAGAATATTACATCAATATTGTCGTTTGTTACATTATTCGAGTTGATTCCTTTGGCAAGAGTTTGTAAATATTTTCATTCAATTATTTTGCCATTTGATGATCATCAGGGGAATCAAGATCAAGATCCGAATGATTATTTGCTTTGGAGAAATGTTGCATATTGTCATTTCAAGAGGCCATTTGTTGATTTGGGAAGAAAGAAGAGACGTGTTGAAAGAGTGATTGATATTAATTTAAAGTATGATGTGAAAGATGTGGAAAGAATCAAAAAGATTATCCAAAATACTGGTGATTATTGGTATAATTTGATAATTGATTTTGATGGTAATGATTCTATGGTAACTGATTACATGTATTTATTGCAAACTAGAAAATTGCCAAACTTGAAAATTTTGAGAGCAAATCATGTTGATTCGTCCTCTGCAGATGTTATTTCTAAAGTATTATCAATGTGCCCTGTCATTGAAGAATTAACACTCAAACAAACAGGAATATTAGAACTTGAATTAGAGTCAATCAAAAAGAAAACATACAAAACTCTAAAGAGATTAACTGTCAATAGTTCAGAAAATATGCTGTGCGGTCCAGCAAAAGGATATGTTGTCCCAACAGATTTTCATTTTCAACAATTGGAAGAAGTTTACTTGTCTGGATTAACATATTGTGATTTTTCTACAACCAATACTTCAAATCCTAAAACAATCAAATCAACACTTTTTAAATCAAAGAAATTGAAAAAAGTTGTCATGGAGAGATGCAATTTGATTTTTGGAAATTGGTTCCTATCATTCTATCCTAAACAAATTGAATACCTAGAAATAAGGGAATCTACCAATTTGGATATAGAAATTATTGAGCATATTCTCAAAATGAAAAATCTCAAAACTCTTATTATCGACATACAACAAACAGCAAATACGGAAGCAAATACGGAAGTAAAGTCCCACCTCTCAGACAATATTATTTCAAGAATATTCAAAGAACTCGAATATTTGGAATGTTTGGATATTACTGGTGATTTGTCGAGCATACGTGGTGAATGTTTTCAACATCTCAGAACTGTTAATCACTTGACCCATTTAGTACTTGACAGTACCACTCCATTACACATGATTGACTATTTACAGGAAAACAAGAACACATCTTTCCTTAGAAACTCCTCAGTTCAACATTTGTTCATTTCTGGGGATCAAAAATTTGAAAGTGATGAATTGTGTGAAGAATTAATTCTTTCCTATTTCAGTGAAGATGTATTGGAAGATTACTGCCTGGAAGAGATTTCGACAGAGCCAAAGGCTACCTTAAATCTTGTCAATAGAGAATCAGTATTCTACGATGAGTACAATAACTAAGCACAGTTAAAATTAATATACAACAGCACCATATTTATAAATTGGCCTTGAAAAACTTTTGTAACATGCTATAAAACGAGTCCAAATTCAAGAATTGATAAGCCAAATGCTTATTACAATAAGTTCTAGTTCTATTAGTGAATGGATAATCGACAGTTCCTAAGAAAGATTCCATATTAGTTTCTGGATATCCATTGGCTGTAATTGATTTCATTGTAGCATTTCTACAAGTGTAATAATTGAAAGTTGGCACTACAATATCATCCTCAATATGCATGAAGAATATTTTACGTCCATTCGACAAGTCAACTCCATTCAATAATTCCTTTACATCATTGTAAAATGGTGGGAAGCCCATTAATGGAGATTTAACTGGTAACACACTCCTAATTGAATTCATAGCAACATCTGCCAATGAATTACCAGCAATAGCTTGAGCTCCGTAATAAATTGTTTGATAGACATCACATGGAGGACTATCTACAAAGGCAACCTTAAATCTCTTATCCTTGGCAAATGCAACAAGTGAAGTGGCACCACCCTAATAATTATATATTTCATTATTTTGTAAATTTTTTAAATATTTTGTAAACAATCTTGTAAACATACCATTGAAGTACCAAATAATCCAAATGAATTATTTCCCAAAAATGGATATCTTTGTTGAAGATAATCAACAGCTCCCAAAGCATCCAAATGTTCAAAACTTCCAAAAGTAACATATGGTATTTTAGAGAAAACTCCAGAATCTCCATGATTTCTCAAATCAATTTGTAAAACATTGTAACCCATTTTGTAAAGCATTGTACTTGCTAACATTGTTTCATATCTATATCTACAAACTCTATAACCATGAATTGTTACAATGAATTTAGAAGTTTCATTAATCACTGCCTGTTTGTACAAGGTTGCAACAATATGTGCCTTTCCTTTTTTGTACAATGTGTGAAAAAAATATTGTAATCTTTCCATTATGTGATTGAAATAAAACAAACTTACCAATTCCACCTTCAATCCACGAAGCATCTCTACTATAAAAATCGACAGTTTCCAAATTTGCTGAATCCACAAAATATGGTGCCAATTTTTCAGTCCACTGTGAAGTAGGTTGAATAAAATATGGACAACGATAATTAATCGTAAAATTGGATGGTGAATTTCCTCTAAATTCATCACAATCAGTTTTAATATCAACAGCAAAAGCCACGTCCCATAAAACACTTCCCAAAGTGAACCAAGCAATTAAAATTATAGCAGCAATGACAGCTATTAAAATTAAAGCAAAAATTAAGAGACAGATCATGAGACGGCAACATATTTTGCCACAGGAAGCTTTTTTACGTTTTCTTTCCGAGATGGGAACATCATTGAGGATACTACTTGTCATTTGTGATGTTTGGCAGGTGAAATTTTGTTGTTATAATGATGATGACTAGATTTTCAGTGAGGAAGGTGGTGAAGGTTGTGAATAGGATAAATGACTTGCAATTTTTTTTGAAATGTCAACAAACACAAGAAGGGTAAGTGAATTTTTGAAGGACAGCTGACGTTGAACATCAACAGAAAAACTTCCTAAATCAAACAATCATTTCTTTTTGTAAATAAAGATCCAATTAATTTTCACTTCCCTCTGTTTCCAATTCCTCTCTTCATACTGACCTCATTACACAGTTGACTTCATTCTTTGGTCATTCTCAACAATAGACAACTGGCATTTCCCTTAATGTAGTATTAAACATCCAATTTATAATTTTTTGTAAAATATTGAACAAAATATCTTTAAAAAAAATATCAAAAAGAACTTTAAAATGGCGTGATTAAGTTGTTATATTGCCATCGTGTTTGTGATTATTCAATTGGTGATGGAATTGTTCATGAAGAAGGATTCCGAGCACGCGGATGATCATCGTAACGATGACAAATATCAAGTTAAAGATGGTAGTGAATGTGAGGGCGGAACCTGACAAAGATAGAGCAAGGTTTATTTAATATTAATATGTATATTATGTATTGTTGCATATCTACTCCAAAGTTGTGTTATCTATTAGAATGTAGAGTTTCATAATTTTTGTATATTTAATATTTAATATTTGATGATGAATGATAATTGTTTAATAATAATAATTAGATTTTGTAATAGGCTGAGGACAATGTAACAATATGTAATATCAATCTCCTTGCTCGTTAAACTTATACTACTGCTACCATACTTTCAATTATTATCAATATTGATGATGTACAAGTTGTTGTTTTATGCGTGACATTTCAATAGGTGCTCTAAAATTCATTCCCAAATTGCAACCCGAAGGTTCATTAGTTGGGAGGAGCCAATGAAATTGAATAATAAAACAATTACCTACATGATTGATATTAATAACATAACAAACTTCTCTATTGGAATTTCATCATCTTATGGAATGGTATTTGGTTGGAGGGAAGTTTCTACTTGTGGATTCTTTTGAGGATACAATCTATACCACAAATAATAATTTGGAGTTTTGGCATCAATACCAAACAGTGAGCAATACTTGTATCTGTAAACTAATAGTGCAGAAATAATACCAATCAAACCACCAACAATGACCTGAGCTACAGTATGTCTATTAGTGACAATTCTCGACACGCCCACCCAAACTGGCACCAGAAATAGGAGGAAGAATAGGATGACTTTGAAGAATTGCCCTCTTCTTCTGTTCCATGTCTTGTATTGAATGAAGCTCTATATATTTTGAAAATGAAACTTACATTTACTTTGGCTGCATAATATAATAGAAAGTAGACCCAAACAGACATTACTGAGGCAATTTGCCCTGAGGGAAAACTAGGAGTGGCAAAAGGAGAACCAAGTGTGAATCTGGAAGGATCTTTGCAAATCTGATTTGGTTTAAAATACTTGCGAATATTTAAGAATTTTTGGAGAGATGACTTGATTATTGACTCAATTTTGGACATGTCTGGTTGACATTCCTGTAAAAATGTAGGTCTGTAAGATCCGTAGCAAAGCCATCCAAATGCCACCATTGCCATAGCAAGAGCTATAGTTTGAATATATCCAAGCATGGCGTGATGAAAGTCTGGAAAGTTCCTCACAAACAACAAGTGAAAAAGCACAAATGTACACACTGGAATTGCAAACACAAACACCACAGCAACGAACCACAGTGACAAACTATCATGTATTCCACCACTCGAGTCGAAAGTAATCGGATAACTCAATTCAGGATCATCCAATCGAAAGTAAGGCACTGAATAAGTGGGAATTCCAGAAAATAGAACTGAAAATAGGAGTGCTATACAAAGAAAGGGAATTAAATACTCCAAGAGATAGTACAAGGTGATTTGGAGCCAATATTTGGTATTTCCCTCAGTTGATCTTTCGATTTCATTAATCTGATCATGATGATGAGGATTTTTCAGGGTGAAATAATTGTCCACAGTCTTTCCTTGAAACCAGAATTTGATTTTGTTACTGGCTTGTTTAAAAATCTTCTTTGTGCCTCGAATCATTTTTTTCAATGTTTATTTCATTTCGTATTAAGAAATCATCTAAACAATTTTCCCAATTAAGCAACTTTCCAAAAATATAAAAACAGTACTTTATTAATTTCACATTAAAGATCAACAAAATTACAATATAATCCTAATATATTTACAGGATTTTAGGCCGAGTTAAAATCACTGACAATTTTGTGAAGTTGTGTAATGGAGAAGAATGATATACATCTCCAATATAAGGTTGATATTGATTCTTCTCATTTCAGTAGATAACTAATGAAAACTTAAAAGACTACAGCAACCACAGGTTCCCAAGTTGTCTCCAACCTCAGTACTGATGTGGCTCGACGATGCTTAACTTCTCAAATCGGACGGGATGAGGTGCATTCATCGTGATATGGCCGTAGTCATTCCTTTTTTTCAAAATAATAATCATAAACAGATCATCATTTGTCACATGTGAATATTTTCAATTATTATTTTCAACGGAAAGCCTGCCAGGAATGCATTACAATCCCATTACGGTCTTTGTTATTGCTTGATGTTAATTTTGGTTTCATTAATTCTTATCGAACATTTCAATGATTTATTTATAATAATAGAGAGAATCTATGATACTCTGCTTATTTAACCACCTCTCAATCTCAATACTAAATGCACAGTTGAATCCTTTTGAAGATTGTAATCGCCAATAGTTCTTCCATCTTCCAATTGCTTACCGGCATAAATCAATCGTTGTTGATCTGAAGGAATACCTTCCTTATCAAATATCTTTTGTTTCATATTCTCAACAGTATCATTCGATTCCATTTCAATTGTAATGGTCTTTCCAGTTAAGGTTTTTACAAAAAGTTGCATTCCTCCTCTTAATCTCAACACCAAATGAAGAGTTGAATCCTTTTGAATGTTGTAATCATTAATAGTTCTGCCATCTTCCAATTGTTTTCCAGCAAAGATGAGTCTTTGTTGATCTGGTGAAATTCCTTCCTTATCTTGTACTTTTCTTTTCACATTTTCAATTGAATCATTAGATTCTACTTCCAAAGTGATAGTTCTTCCAGTGAGTGTCTTGACAAATAATTGCATTTTGTTGTCTTGTTTTTTTTCTTATTGTTTTTCTTGAATTCAAACCTCTTCTTTGTTTTTTATACTTGTTTTAAAGCAAGATTGATATTTTTAGAAAGTAGTTCGTGTGGTGGCCAATTGAAATTAAATTCTTGCATGAACTGATTTTTGTTTCTGGACACAAACCTGGTTCATGTTTTGTAATATCGAGCAACTCATCCATTAGTCAATGTAACTGGTTGTTAGTAATTGTGTTAGTAATTGAATGTAATTTAGGTTGCAGATTTTGAAATAGCAGCAAAAATTAAAGTGTTTCCAATCTTGCAAAATAAATTTCATGACGATAATCCAGAAATAAAAATTACTATTATTACTACTACATAGATGATAATGTTGGGATGATGTGAAAGGTTGGTGTTTGCATGAAACCCTGATCTTTAAGCTATGGTAATGATACAGGGATTATTGTTGAATATTTTTTTAAAAAATATTAAAAAATATGCAACAAGAAAAATTCTGCAACAAAAGTACAGCCTTTCTCTTTGTTGATTTTCAACAGCAACACTGGGAAGCATTTTGTGGATTCATGTCTGGAAACCTTTATGAGGTGTGAGCAATCATCAAGAATATAACAATGCGAAGTGGTTAGGAACATTTTAATTCGAGGATGTTCATCAAATAATTAAATTTATTATTTTCATCATGTAACACCATTTCCTTGTTCTACATCAAGTATGTAAATTACAAATTATTAAATGGTTTGTTTTTGAATGAGTTCAAGACATTATCATATATTCACCATTGTTCTAAGAGTACCTCTAGTTCAAATCCAAGGAACAAAAGTGTACTCATGAACCATATTAAGGCGCTATTTATCCTTACTTGCGCACTAGTTTAGCCACCAACAGCCCAAACGGTGCTTCCACCACTCAGAAAGTAAGAATTTTATAGCATGAACACGACGAGGCTTAATAAAAATATCATCACATGAAATCTCACAGGCACCCTAAAACTTGTTGGCTGATTTTATTGAACGTACTACTAGTACTTTATCCCTACCTCAATGATTGCGGATTTTTATTAGCTAATATTACTCAATTAGAAAGCAGTATGACAGATAATATTAATAATGCTACCTATCAAGATGCTGTATACGGAAAGGAACAATGTTTTGTGAGGCATCATTCGGATCCGATAAGATTCCTGTGGAGTATTGATGATTTTATTCAGGATACATCGATACGAAATATTTCCCTCAATTTAAGGGCATCGAAAATGAGCCCAAACTTTTGCTTGGCACTTCAATTATTCTCTAATAAGGATAAATATTTTATACCATCAATTAATGAGAGTTTTCATATGAATCCCTTTATAGATGGAAAAACCATTTCAATGATTGAAGATGTAAGGTACAGAATGTTTTGTTATTATCAAAGGTTTGGAGATTTGGATTTTGAAATACTTCCAAAAGCCTTCTGCTTGAAAAGAAACGAAGCTAAATTCAATGGTGGATGTTCTTATGGATTTGTAAATCAACAATTAGATTTATTTCTTTCCAAAGCAGAATGGAAATTTACACCCCTCAGGCAACAGTACAGACAATACGAAACAAGCCTAACAAGTTTGGAAATGAGAATTCCAATTGTAGTACCAGCCGATACAACAGATGTTCAATTACATCTCGTATTTGTGGACATGTATTCTCCACCTGAACCAGAAAATTTTTTACCTGAATACGTAACAGGTTCTATTATATTCCACTTTTGTCAACTAAACATGGTTCCACATATTGGCATGATGACTGTGATGCCTTTACATTTAATTCCAGAACACAATACTATTGTTGGAAATTGACTGCATTATGCATTGGAGTTGCCGAATTCTCTATTATTTTAATTCTCTTATTCGCTAAAAGAGATCATCAAATGATCAAGAGTAGATTTATTATTCCATTTATTAGTGCTGGATTGTATCTTACTCAGGGTGTGGCCAGTATTATTTTGAATATAATTTACTATGACCCTGAGTGGGATACATTAATTGAAGAACTTGTAATTATTGTAGTGATATCTTTACTTATTTTACAAGCTTTGAGATATTATTCATGTAGATACTGTTATGCTAAATACTATTCTAAAAGGGACAGTATCATTTTAAAGGTATTAATGTCCAAATTCATATTTCTAATTTCTATTATTTCAGTCATTCTTTGTGAAGGTGTGATTGTCAGTTTTCTATTGACTTCTATCCCCAACATATTTTTGGTTAATTATATTTATGACACTATTTGTATCTCTGTGGCAGTTGTGTATTTTTCAGTGTTAGGAAGTGGGCTGATAGCTCACTTTATCCTTAATAGAAAGTTTTTGAGCAAGCTCAAGAAAAAGAGGAGAATTCTAAGATGGTTCTTTCTCTATGATGATTCTTTTGGGTACCACGTCGAATTCTTGGTATTGATTCCAACTATGTTTTTTTCATTTCTTCATTACGCTGTTTCCCAATTAGACATTTCATATTTCACAATACCAGCTTTGGATTATACTAGACCAGTATCCAGAATGTACATAAACCACACCATTGGATATATTTTATATGGCTTCACCAAAATATTAATGGTAACAGGGTTTAGTCTACAAAATGTTTTTCTCATTGTTTACTCCTTTATCAAAACAGAGCAACCAGTAGTAGGAGATTTTGGGGCGCAACAAGAAGAAATGGATTTGTTTCTCTCAAAAACTTTCAGTGATGGAACGGTCTGTATTGATATAATGAAAAAGTTCCTGACAAGAGAGTTTAGAGCTGATTTATTAGAATTATATCTCCTCATGTCTAAAAATCCCAAATCCGATGATGTGGAGCTATGTGAAAAGTACCCTCAACATTTTGCACCACTGTCTAACTTTGGAAATGGGTCCAATAATCAAAGCCATTTTCAAATTGTAACACTTAATTTACTGGAGGCTTTTGGAAGGCTGAAACAAACAGTTGTATATGAAGAAGAATATCTTTCAAAAACTATGGCTGAAATCGAGTTTGTTTTTAACAGTATAAAGTAAATTGATTTCATTTCCTTACAATTCTCAGAATACTATGTTCACAATTATTCCAAGTATCAACACCGTTTCAAATGCCATATGGAAGATCATCGTAACATGAACCAGAGCATTTCTCTCGATTCTTATTAATAAGCAACACACCATGTAAAATAGAATACATGTGCCATGAGGGAATATTTCACTTGCAAGTCCATTGTATTAATGACCAAACACTTGATTCATTTGTTAAGATGTTGAACACATAGCATGTACATTGATGTCATACAGCTCTTAATTTGAGTTCATCCCAGGTATTGACTCTTGAAATGTGATACATGCTCAAACAACACACAGAAACATGTTAACACTATTATTTTGTTTGTTGAAATTATTTTTAACACACAAAATTAATGAAGAATGCACTTGAATACACGAAGGTTACTAATAATTGGCCTTACGCTCCACACATCCAAACCTAAATGAGGAACTGAAGGTTGAATAAGGATTAGTTGAGGTATTAATATATATTATAAAAAAGTGATGCGAATTCAATACTACTTTGGTTTTGTATTAAGGTGCTCTCTTCATCTAACAAAAAGTTAATGAGGAACTGAAGGATGAATTAGGAAATAAAAAGGTGATTAAAATCAAACTTTCAAATCAACAAGAGATGGCATGTCCAAAAGTAGTATGGACATAAAGTCCAAAATTAGGGCTCGTTCAAACACTGGCTACTTGTTGAATAATTTTGAGTGATGAGTACATTCAATGCTTCTGCTCCTCTATTTCCATGTGTATCCTTCAGTTCCATTCCAAACCTTCAGTGCCAAATAAACATTCTCACCAAAATGCACTGTATTTTGACATTGTAATGCTAGGCAATTGTCGTTGCGAATCTATCTCCTGTTGTGTTGCAGAAGAAATACTCAACATGCACATGTGTTTTTCTATTGATTGTTGTGTTGGATTCGTTTGCCTTATTAAACCTTATTTCGCGCTCTAAAACAACTTTGATTTGAAAAAAAACAACACAAGATGAAAAGGATTCTACAATTTCTCCTTTTTGCTTTGGTAACCTTACTTTGCTATTGCAAGGTAAGAGCACAAGAAGCGTGTGAAAACAATTACGAATGTGGTGGTACCATGTTCAAGTTCAATATTTCAACCATTGCAACAACTAAAACAGCATGGGGTGGTGGTGTGGTTTACAAGAATGGGACTCTCTATGTAACTGATGGTCCATCTATTCTGTCAATTGGATCAAATGGAACTCTT